AATTCACTTAGACTTCTGTTCTCAATTTTAGATGTGTAGTACAAATGTAATATTGCTTCCGCCGAAAGGTACACACTAGGAACTATATTTTGTTCAGACATTTAATGTATTTATCATGACACGTAGGAAATTAATCCGCCTATCCTCTTGACGATTAAGCCCCCCCCCCCCTCCGGCAATAACAGAAAAAAGTACCGAAATATGGTGAATTACTATAAACAGAGAAATGTATCTCTTAACTTTTAACGATAGTTGTCAAACACATAACCTGATTTAGTGTACATGCTTAAAGACCACCGTTTTAAAAGCACATACATACATACATTAAAACAACAACAGGCTGAACGTGACTTAAGTAAGCGTGCTTACTCGTCCTTCGGGCGTTTTTAAATTGAAGGTGTAGAAACAGGCGACGTGACACCTTGACGGACTAATGAAGTGCGAAGAGCTCAGATAAATACGTGAGTAAAAATATAGAAGGAAGATTTGGGTCAGCACTTATTGCGGCCTTGGCGTTGCCAGGGTGAGGACGGTACGTGCGCCTCGTCACAACACAAGACCCACCTAATACCCAAACCGGTCTGGTCTACGTTGTTGTCATTATTACGTATAGCTCATCAAGTATGTGGGACAACACTCCACTTAACCTGAGAGGTTATTACGACTTATACAGTTGTGAGTGTCAGTTCTAGAACTCAAAGATGACGTGACACTGATTTTTATCCCCATGGACAATTAGACACTTAAAACGACGTCTTTACACAAACCCACAAGTTCCCAAAACAGTATCGCAGTATAAACCTAACTTTGAAACCATGGATTTTCTAAAGATTTTCTGTGGATTAGCTTTTGAAGGAAAACATAATACAGGTAAAGGATGAATTAAGAAAAAGAGGTTCATCCCTTAACCTCCCGTGGATCCCCTGAGCTTTTGACCACGTAAATATGAAAAGAAACTATATTTAAAATTAACTGAAATTATGAGAAGTAACAAATAAAAAAAAGTGACAATGAATAATTATACACAAAATATATATTGATTGTGGGAATTAATGTATGGGTTCGAGAGATGAACTGGAGGTTAAAACTTGGGGTATTTGGCCTAAAGGTAAAAAATTGGAAGTATGGATTCAGAAGTTAATGCTGGAGGTTAAAGGGAAGAACTGGAGAACCGGATTTCAATTAAGAACTAGAGGTGAGGTGAAACTAGAGGTGATGGTTTTAGGTAAGAAGTGGAGGTCAGGGTGGAGATAGAAACTGGAGGTAATGGCTTTAGGTAAGAAGTGGAGGTCAGGGTGGAGGTGGAAACTGGAGGTAATAGTTTTAGGTAAGAAGTGGAGGTCAGGGTGGAGATAGAAACTGGAGGTAATGGCTTTAGGCAAGAAGTGGAGGTCAGGGTGGAGGTGGAAACTGGAGGTAATAGTTTTAGGTAAGAAGTGGAGGTCAGGGTGGAGTGGAAACTGGAGGTAATAGTTTTAGGTAAGAAGTGGAGGTCAGGGTGGAGGTGGAAACTGGAGGTAATAGTTTTAGGTAAGAAGTGGAGGTCAGGGTGGAGATAGAAACTGGAGGTAATGGCTTTAGGCAAGAAGTGGAGGTCAGGGTGGAGGTGGAAACTGGAGGTAATAGTTTTAGGTAAGAAGTGGAGGTCAGGGTGGAAGTGGAAACTGGAGGTAATAGTTTTAGGTAAGAAGTGGAGGTCAGGGTGGAGGTGGAAACTGGAGGTAATAATCTCAGGTAAGACGTGGTTGGGGACTGGAAGTCAGGGCTGGTGTGGTGTCCTGTACCGTAAGAGCTCACAAATCCTTGGACATAACTGCCTCGCCGCACATTCCTTACTTAACCACACTAAGCCAACACTGTCTAGGTTACGGATTATCAATGACTTGTAAGACATAATTATTCCCCTTTACTTTGATAATAAGGGAATTTTAGTACGATAATACGCGACGCAATGTATGTTTTTCCATCTCTAGAGCTGCGGTTGTGAGAGACTTTTGAAGAGTTCTCACATATCCAGTGCAGAGGAAAATGACCAATGAAATTTTAATATTCATACCATATTTATATGTATGCTTATCCCGTATAAATCCTGTCATATTTGTCTATATTAATTCAACAGGAAGTGTCAGCAGTAGTTTCCAGTGAGAATAACGCGTCAGCTGATCTACAATAAACAAATGACGTCACAGTTATGATTGCAGGGCTGCCAGTGTGCGTTGTGGAGTTTCATTTCCGCAGTGAATGTAATGCATAGACAAAATCCCACCATCCAAGTCTCTTAAGTCTCTAATATTAGAGTAGGTTGGGATACGTGGGATTTATAATGTCAAAGTGCTGTGCAGTGTGTGTGTGTGTGTGTGTGAGTAAAAAATTAGTTAATAACAATATTACCATGTTTTTTGCTCTTTATGAAAGTAGACACGAACCAACCAACCAACCCTAACCTAGCCAAAACTTCCTCATGCTCTCGATCGATTCTACTGTAGGTAACTTCATGACGTCTGAAAAACAAATCGCATCATATTATTTAAAAAGCATGAAAGTCTTTCTGACTTGAGGCGAGAGAGAGAGAGAGGGAGAGTGTGTGTGTGTGTGTGTGTGTGTGTGTGTGTGTGTGTGTGTGTCCAGCACACTAAATGGCTTAACAATAAAGCGATACAAGAGCAAGAGAAGATACTTATTAATAGGATTTATCAAGCTAATCAATAGCCACATCAGTCTCCGCAATCAAAAAATTGCTGCGTAATCTAACAGCCTGGTAAAAAATATATGAACCAACTTAGCATACGTGCCACGTAAGACTTTATTTATTGAAGTACAGAAATAATCCAAAGACACAACGTAGGAGTAAGCTGACAAAAGAATGAAAGTGATATATTGATAGGTAACAAATAAAACTGAGTATTTTGACGTTATCCCTGTACGGTGTTCCCAAACATTACAGGTGGTGTCAAGGACGAGGCCAAATTTATCTCCCAAGCAACATAGCCACGACTTCCTTTTCCTCAGTACAAGGAATTCCGTCCAACCATTGAAATGTATTCTCTTAATTTTTATTCGTCAATGAGTAGAGTATTTACAATCTAAAACTACGTGCTGAAAGACCTTAGTTGTTGATTCAGCGCACAGTAATACACATATGAACAACATCCCTTTCACACACACACGCGCGCGCACACAGGTAATGCCATCTATAAGATTACTATTCCGTGGTGGAGTCGCTATTTTTAGAGATAATGCCGGTGATTTTATTGTAAGGTTGCTGTTTCTTCCATTAAGGCCACTAGAGTAACCCTGAAACGACAGATTTTATGGAGTGACAGACAACAAAGGAAATGAAGAGAGAAGATAAGAGGGAGAAAGGGACAGAGATTATGTGAGAGTTAGAAAACCGGAGAGAGAGATTGAGAGAGAGCAAGCATAGGAGACTGGTGATATTATTGTAAGACCATATTTCAACTTAAGACCGTTAATTTATCGTTAGTTTCCTTCCAAGCCTCAACCTCACCGTAACACCATTAACTTCATCCTAAGACAAATAATTTACCTCCAAAATCATCAACTTCGCTGTAAGATCATTATTTCACCTAAAACCAAACACTACGTGTGTAGGGTGAAGGCTCGTCTGCAGATGTGTATGTGTGCATTTGTGTATACTTGTATGTAATGTTGTAACCGCATGTTTACATACTTGTTCACATGTCGTTCGAAAATGTACACATGTACAGTATATACCTTTGTGCGTTTAGTGCATACACCAGCCTGTGTGTGCATGAGTATCTGCACGTAGTGCATACCGATATATGTATGAATAAAATGCAGATTGGTGCATCTATCTGTGCACTGTATATATTTATATGTTTTTGTAGCCAAAGAAGACCTTGTTACCAAGCGCGTTTGTCTAGCCGAATGTGTGTGTACCGGTCCTATTTTATATTCACCAGAGTATTATTCTAAAAAGATGGTCACAACTCGCGCTACAATGTTAGACATGCTGAACCAAAAACTAGTGAGAATATCGATACACTGGTAATAAAATAGCTTTCTGGAGACACAAGCGGCACCAAAAACATGGAAAATATCGGCCAAACCTACTTCTATAAATTCTAAACAATAGGTTGTTTCAACCCATTATGTAAGTCACGAAATTCTAGTGAACCCGGTAAGTATAATTGTTACTATTATCACAAAAGCATGCACGCTGCAAGTTATTAAACTGTGCATGAGAGAATTTAACATCATTATATGTACGATATAATTGTATTATGTATGCTACCATCACCTGTGCATTTATAAACAATTCACTATTGTTTACGGTATGCAAGGTCTGTCCTGACGGGCGCTCGTCAAAATATTCTATTTACAAGTCCGATGCATTTTGGCATGGAGGATAGGGAAAACCGTTACTATGAGATTTCAATGTTTTATCCCCTGGGACACACGTCTGCTCTCTCTCTCTCGTGTTGACGTTTCTGACACTAGCCTCGTGCACGATGAAAAAGCAGAAGCGGAATCTTGCGACGTAAACTTAATATCGTCGTGGACTCACGTCATTCATTTCAAGCAATCGATACGACGCAGGCGCACTGGACGGGCGCCGACAGTCTTCTGAGGAAAATCCCCATTAACGTTTGCTGCCGTACCCTGAAACCTCGGCGCCAGGTCCGAACAGTGCCAACCATAGGAGCTACGGCCAAGGAAGGTGAATTCCTGTTGTACGGTTTAGTGCCAAGGGCGACAAACATAAACATTCTTGCGGCGGCGCGCGCACGTGTTGCTCCTGAGACACGCGGCGTTGAGATGCCACTTCTTCTTTCTAACTTTTTAATATACGCAATTACAATACAGATTTATTTGCTAATATATGTCTACAATAAACGTATTATTAATCTCTATTCAGAGAGTATAGATATGATGTATCAGTTAAGAAACATAGAGAAACAATGTATTAACTGGCACTTGGCGCTATTGCATCAGCTAGCAGGTAAATATCCTCTCAACCCACACGCCGGGTCAGAGCTTCGTGAAACCTGGACGTGGAGGGATATTCCCACATGGTCCTTGTAACTACTGCCTCAGTGGTAATATCTATGGAAAACGGGGGCTTTGTCCGTAACCATAGCGCCAAGACAATTCGTCTGACAACAATCAACACATTTGAAGAGACGCCGTAATAGAAGATATTCGTGAAACCGGCGTTGTATTATCTCGCTGCTGCTGCTGCTCTTACGTCAGAATCGGGTGTAGCACCGCCTACTAGCCCCGCCAAGCACTGTGTTGCGTCAGCATCACCGCTCACGATACAAGCACTCAAGAGTTACACAAGAAAGGGCCGTTGGTCAAGTCGAGGAATCTGTACAACTCTGAAAGATGCTGTCAATCCTTAGACCCAACACCTACAAGGCGCCACTCGCCTCACTCACCAGTGGTAAGTAACCACGTATTATGATTACCCAAGTTTTCGCTTTGACAGGCGAGTGCAAGGCCGTTAACAGTTCGTACATATTAACCGTACACTCGTGTTGCTTTAAAATAGCACGATTTGATGGACTCCTAATATGTTGAAAGATTGATTTTGACAATTCTTTTGATTTAACTTTTCAAGCCAACTTGTAATTATGATGTCAGGTGAGAAATTGCGCGGATTTGCTATTAGCTCAATTAGTTATTGAGACGCGAGTTTTGTGAATACATGACTTTCCGGTGTAATGCTTTGTTCTGGAAATAATTTTGCGCCATGTTCGAAGTGATGGCAAGATCCAATAATTTTCACTTTACAAATACCTGGCGAGGATCACACATTTGTTGGACACATAATAAATGACATTGATGAATTTATCCGATTCTGACGAGAGGGATCCGTAACATGCATGTTAGAGAACAAGGTGTGTAATGCAACACTAGAAGCGAACTTAGTTACGTTCCTCTACTTCTCATGATAATTTTTATTTTAAAATAGCTGAATAAGAAGATATGGGTGTGCGACACCACTCACGCTGTCAGATGCTGCCACTGTACCGCCTCCTGCTTCCACTTTCCTTCAACTTAATGGAATATTCTACAAGTTAAAGAGAGGCAGGAACCAGGACACAATTGCACCTGCGATACTCTATAAATGCCGCCGTGTATTGTCTCAATATTTTAACGGTATTGCCATTAGAACAAGCTGAAAGGTTGAAACTTTCAAATCAAATGTACAACGACTTGATTGATTACTTTTATAAGGCAAATATTCCATGATCTCTGCGAGGTGTAAAACTCTTTCTCTAAGAAAATTGTACAATTGCCCTTCGTCATATACATACATCCTTCGAAAAAAACAGTGAAGAACTCCTTTAAAGGGTCATCACGGGTTTAAAGTTGACATAATATTTTTGAAACAACAAATGAGTTCATAATTTGTATTTGAACATATAAATCAATGACAAGCAAATTTAACGTTTAGGAAAATTCACTTGAATTTTTGGCCTATATAAATAGTTTAGTTGTTCTAGTAGGCCTGACTATTAGATCCATGCACACTATAAGTTTCAAAATTACTATTATGTCCACTGAACGTCACAAAGCCCCATACCTAAATATTGAAAAGTGAGAGTTAGGTGCAGTAACATACAAGCGATTAGTTTAACCTTGACCGGTGTTATATTGACGTAAACTTGCGCAATAGTGTGAAAGTTACTCTTAAGTTTTGGGGACAGATTTTAAATTTTACCTTCATTTTTATGTTACTTTGGATGATTTTCAAATATTCACCTTCCCCAAAATTGGTGACAGGTCGGCAGGAAACGGAGGGGCTGAAATACAATATGCACTTTTATTAATTTTTTCGTAAACGAAAACTCAGTACGTATACACTGTTTCTAAATGAAAAAAAAGTTTTGCAATAACTTTGAAAACTTAGTTCAAGTAGCAATTTAACCAAGTTTTTAACCGTTGCATACAATTCGATGATTTTTGCATATAAAGTTCGCATGAAATTAGTGCAATACTTACTTAGGCATTCAGTAGTGAAAAATGGTCCAGAGAAATTTATTGTAATGTAGTCTCGTTCAAGATTCTTCGAACAATGCTGGAGACAGCTGGCAACTTAAGGCTGTTTGTTTACTATAGCACGCAATAAAAATTATGAATGAATATAAAATTTTATCGGTGATTGGCTACTTTTTTTTTACGGGGATTAGCCCACTCGGGCACAGGTCACTGACCCACATCAGGGCCTGGGGGGCGAAAATATAATAATGTTAATTATAATAATGATGATGATAATAATAATAATGATGATAATAATAATAATAATAATAATAATATTATTATTATTATTATTATTATTATGATTATGATTATTACAATAATTAAAAAAATAATAACAAAATACCTGTACTAAAATAAAAATAATATACTAAAAATAATAACCAAAAATAAATACAAAAACGAGAAAAATAAATCAAGAATGAGAAACTATATACATTATGTATGTTGTGTTGTCAAAGTAACAAACAATTGAGACCCAGCAATTGTGTGTAAATGAGGCAGAAAGTCAGATCAGCAACCTAGGACTTGGTCACAATTTTCGTGATGCCATATGGCAGCAGGGTCTAATATTAGACAGCACATTATGCTTCCAATATCTTCCCAGGCGGTAGAACCTCCCTGTTTGATAGTTATCTACTACCTACTATGATGTAACTTTCAAGTTTAACATTTTGCATGTTTCTCGCCAGATTTCTACGACTTCAGAGTTTTGGAGGATGAGACGGCAGCTATGCTGTTAGCTAAACACATATGGCGCTTACTGAAGAAAGCCCGCCACCGCCTCTACCAGGTCAGTGCCTCCCTCCCTTTCGCCCCCAATGAGCCCACTCCCCCCGTCCTCCTCGGTTGAGGGATTTTTTTTTGGGGGATATTTTATATATTTTTGTCATGGTCCTTGGGGGAGAATATTTTGTACACATTTTCGTGATCATAGTACATATGTGGTGGGAAGAGACAATGGCTGTGTCACTGCAAATGAACAGGCTATCGAAAGAAATTATGGGTTCATAGGAAAACCCCAAGAAATTTATTTGTTTTATAATGCTAGTTAAGGTCGTAGGAATCCCCTAAAGATACGTAGCTAAAGCCAAATTGTCCAGCCTCACATAACGTACCAAACATGACAAAAATGCTTCATAATTTCCTATGTAAATTATAGTATATTGCAACTTGCCCCTTAAGTTTTTCTTTACTGTAAGTCCCGCCAGAATATAATGTGGAATATATACAGACTAATCGCTCCCCTTAGCTAATGAGTAAAAAGTAATTATGCCTGCTAATGTGTGTAATTAAAACTAGAAAACTTGACAATATGATCACTCAACTACCTCTCGTTATTGCTGTCACTCACATTCTCCCATCACGTTCGAGCCTCTACCACTAGTTAATGTGGCCTGTGTCACATCTCTGCTTCCTACTGTCTCCTACCCCCAGGTTACTTTAATACTCTCCGCCTTCTCCCCCAGGTTGACTATACCAAACCTCGCCACCAACAGGTTAGCTATCAACCAATCCGTCTCCAAATCAATGTGCACCCCTCCTCGCCTGTCCCACCAAGTCAACTGTCTGCCCCCACCCCCCTCCTCCACCAAGTCAACTGTCTGCCCCCACCCCCCTCCTCCACCAAGTCAACTGTCTGCCCCCACCCCCTCCTCCACCAAGTCAATACCTGCCTCTCCCTGCGTCCTCCACTAGATCAATGTCTACCCTGCGATACTTCACTACGCCTAACCTTTCAGTGCTTCCTCCACAACGTAAAGGTTCACTTCACCATACCTCGGCCATTGTCTACCCTCGATGCCTCACTCACCAGATAAATTACCACCCCATGCCTCCTCCACGAAATTAGTGTCCATTCCTTTCTCTGCCTGCCTTTACGTCAGAACAGTACAGTACCATGAACCAAGGCTGTGAATTTTTCGTCCATTTGCGCGGCAGACGAGCTAATATTTTTAGGTAAAATACCAATCGGCGTACCAGGACTAGTGACCTACTGTACTGTATGCCATGTACTGGTAATTTACCTCTACATTAAACCGACAGCCTACCTCTAGTTAGTCGGTCAACATTTATTTAACTTTTCCCCAAAAAAATCCGGGCAAGCAAATAACCTTAATTTTTTGTTTTAAAAATCACTTGTCTGGGACAAGTAAGTGCTCCATATAGTTTACACTGCCTGCCTCAACCCCGCCTTCAAGGTATTAACAACACCTCACCACTTGCCAAGCGAGTTCACAAGACAGCCGCGAATACAAACACAAATTCCCTGAGAAATCCGTCTGGAAAAGTTTTCGCGTTATAATTTTCCATTCGACAGAATCCTACTGGCTTATGTTCCTGTAAATTGGAATTAGTTTAGGGGTGATCAAGTGGGAATTCGATCCACAACCTCTGGTCTAATTATACCATTGGTGAATGAAACCAAATATCAAGAACCAAACGAACCCCTAAAGGAAAGGCAAATCTAGTGGTGCCCGTTATAAACATTACCTTCTGAAGGTAATGTAATAATACTCTAGATATATCAATATAAACTACATACACACTTTATGAACATTCGGAATACTTGCCTGTTTACTCCTGAAACGGACAGCACTTCTTGTAACTGCGTACAGTCCTCGAACGACACATCACAGTCGACACTCCCAAGTTCAAAACACAACTGACTGACTTTTAGTTTTCCTCCCGTTTGGCTTGTGCCATTTTCCGTAGTCAAATCAAGATCCATACTCAATAATAAGGATATTTATATAAAATGAAATATCTTACCACGTAAAAAGTATATCTTTTTTTTATAGATGTTGATACTCTTAAAGACATCTGATGTTTGTTTACAGTACGAGCTTCTGGGTTTGACGTGGAAAGATTGGCGGTATATGCGTTGACAGGGCGCGGTCCGAAAAATGAAAATCCTATGAAAATTTTCTGCCAAAAAAAATAACGCAAGTGCTAGTTTGAACGCTGCCTTAAATACACTTCTCACGTCGTATTTATTTGGTTTGCTTTAGCCTTCACGGTTCAGCAACAAGCGATGCTAGCATTGGGGCGGCAGGAAAGCACTCCGCTAAGCCTAAGAAAGTCGATTACACCCAATACTAGACCTCAAAGCAGCCTTTCCGACTCAGAGCCTGTTCATTTTTAACGAAGGCTGCTATACACCGAAAATGGAACGAGTAAAATAGTATTTTCACGAAACCACAGTGATATGAATGAAATGCGCAAACCAAAAGGATGTCTCGCGCTCAAAGCGACTGAAAGATCATCAGAAACTTGTAAGCCTGACTTCAGCTAACTTAGCCTTATATTGTTTTCGTCATAAAATTTTTTAATTCTTAAAATTTTGCAGCTTTTCGTTCATCTGTGAATGGATCCTTGTTTAGAGCACTACGCCCGTGTAATGTATAGAGCTTCAACTTACTAGACTAAAGGCTGTCGGTTGATTTAGCCATATTTTTTTACTATGATAGGGATTGCGGATGTATTTGAACGTTTTTTTTTCCACACAACAAAGTCTTTGAGCTTCATTATCATCTTAACTATGATGAAGTTTTACCCTACATCTGACCATACTGTACCACCAATCTGGACACCAGTCTTCATCAGTTATACAACTGAAATATTTATTTTCTTGCTTCAGATGCCTGGGTGTGAGGGTGGCGCCGGAGGTGTGTCTGTGTTGGTGCCCGCAGACTTCCTCAACAGACTGTCCCGGGATGTGGTCAGGATGACGGAAGGAGAGAGGCATGGTGTTAGGTGAGTCTCGAGGAGAATAACTTTAATCAAGATCTCCTTAATACTAAGATATTCATTCGGTTGCCAAGCGTATAAAATAAATGTTTTTGTTGTAGTATGCCTAAAGTGGACCACTTTAGAGGTAGGGGTCTGGGGTATTCCTCAGCCTAGTGATATAAGTGTCATGCCAATTTGGGAAGGGGCAATATTTTGTTCTCAAATGCGATGTAGTGGCGGTAAATATATATAGAGTACGAGTATAGTGTATGAAAGTTTACACGCAACTGCCAGGCCAACTCTCGGTGAGTAATTATTTATAAGGAAGAATAAAATGACGAAAACCCATCGAAGGAGTCATCATCGTGAACAAATGAATTGCTGGGACTCTTTATATGGATCATAGAAGTCTACATGCAATTGACATTTTAATTAAAAATTGTAAGATTCATGGGCTGATTGTGTTATAGGTTAGGCTTGTTCCACCTGTCTTTTTGTTTACGGGAATTACAGTGGTGATTGACAAAATAGGTCTGAATTATGATTTTTTTTTATTTATTTAATTTCACCAAAAAATAATGAAAATTGTGTACCGATAATACGTTAGTGCATTTAGCATTCAATGAAGGAAGTTGGACGTCTTTTCTAAACATGAAAGTTATTTGAGATGAATACACAAAAAAATTGCAGTTGAAATCACATCATAATGGGTTATTGTATAAGTGTGGCAAAACAACTCGCAGGAGTGAAGATAACATTCCACCGAAAGAGGAGAGAATGTCTTCTTGGGTTACTGTACCAGCATAAGGAAATGTGATTGTTGGCGCGTGTAGGTTGAACTGCAGTCTGCAATACCAGTAGAGAGGCTTTTGTTGTATGGCCCTCGTGAACAAGTCTGGTCGTAATTGTAGAATCCTCGGATGTGGTGATGGTTTGGGAAAATTTTGCGTTACAAATGGTAAATTGTTAGACACTGTGTATTTGACGCTACGTATATGCACTTCTTAATATTGAAGTAGAATGACCTTGTTATCGCTGCCAATTCATTATAATTTAGATAAGACAAAAGAGAGTCGCGAGATTATCAGGCAGAGAGCTCGGGTCAGGCTGTGCAGTTAAACATTCAAAACACAGAATGTTTACTATCTACTTTTAATTATACTAAAAGTTTAATTGTGTTGAAGTTGCCATTCACATCACCAGGCAATTGCGATTGAACTGGCCCCTGTAATTTTAGGATATTACTAAAAGTATACGCTTCAGTTTGCACCATTTTCTGTAATGTCTTCTTAACGATAACGTGATAGATAGTGACAGCACTAGGATCCCTCTTCCTCTATCAAGGAATAAATATTGAAATTAAATTGAACGTGAGAGGGACGATATATAAACACAACCCGCCGAAGACGTATGTGATGATATAAAAAAAAATTATGTTGGATCGAAAAGCGTTTTTTTTTTTTTTTAGCTGGCATTCCCAAAATCACGTTAGAGTATTTTTCTTCCAGAGGATGCACGTTGCACATAGACTACTGTGACGGTCTGGAGGTGACGAGAATTGGGAAGATAAAATGTGATCCTCACCTTCCTTCTAGTTCATTCCTGCACCTCACACTTACCAGAGCACCGGAGGGACCACGCAACACTAACCCGCTGCTCAGGTGAGATTATGTAGCAACATTACTAAATGGATTAAGTAGCAACCATGTCGTTCCTTGAGTCAGACAGCAGCCATATTCCTTTGATCAAGCAGCACTATGATGTTTCTTGCTTCATGTAGCAACTAATTTGTTCCTGGAACTCGTGGGTACCAACCCTGTAATCAGGTTACCAGCCTTTTCTCGGGTCACTTATCAATCTGTTCATTAGGTCACAAAGTAAACAATCTGTTTCGTAGGTTCTTATAACTAACCAACTTCTCTGGGGGGGTCTTTCTCTCTGGACATGTAACAAACATGTTTTTTGTAAGGGCATATAACTCACGTACTGGTTAAAATATATTTCAAGACTTAAGCTGCTCAGTACGACCAGCCAAGAAAATTAGGTGTATGAGTTGTGTATAAGTACCCAACATATTTCTTTAACCAGGTGCTCCCAGGAAGATACAAAAAAAAACCATTCGGTTTTCCCAAATACGAGTACTGTATTGTACTACAGTACTGTATAAGGATTTCATAAAGGAATACATTTTCTTGGGATTTATATGTATATTTATTTAATTGCAGAATTCTCGGCTTTGGAAACGACAATGTCATCTACATCAGTCCAGGCTACTTGTTAGAGAAGAAGCGCTCCAAAGATGGCCGCCGTGTTGCTGTTTGAACAGGAAATGCTTATAGTAGATTTGCATTTATTGGATCGAAGATAGCACAATGGTGCATAGGATGCAAATTAAGGCATTTGGTTAACGTGCTGAATGAAGTCCAGTCCCTAACCATATCTCCACAGCCTGTTATTTCCTTCCTGTGTTGTGATTTACTTACACTTTGGGTTCTCGACAGGTCGCTGGATTAGTTCATATTATTGACTTAGACTTCTTTTAATATCCATTGTATATAGCACAAAAAACGAATCTTCATACTTTAGTTTTGCCAGGAACACTTCAGTAGTATTTATAACTTTTCCATTTAAGTTAATTATTTTTCTTACCTAATAGTATGGATTTTCTCTAGCTGTTTTATAAAGTTCATTCATTCAGATGGCAGTTTTGCTTTTCATGTATAGTGTACGGTTAATTTCATTTATCTAATAAACCCATTCAGAGATATATTTAAGAAAGAGATGTATGCTACAAATGTTTGTAAAACTGAAAGTGGGTTCCCTAGGCTGGGTGGATACAATATATTTGAGACCAGGCCTTTTTAGGGTACACAAGAAAGCAGTGTTGGTATTCACAGTTGGGTAGCGAGTACTATCGGCTCTACTGCCACTCTGACCTGGTGAACATTTACTGTACAACTTATTTAAGGCTAACAAATGCATTGCACAAATTTAACACATTCCAAAAGGTTCAGTGACATGAACCTTCAGAACTTCAAAATGATCGGATTGGTGTTCATAAACTGAAGAGTGACATCGGAAGGTCTAGATAACAGTTGAAGCGCCACCTTAGTGGACGCCTCTACATTTGCATCACTCCGTTAAATTTAAATAATCAGACAATTATACTAGGGGTATACAGTACCCTTATTTAGCCACATCTGCCAAATTTCTGCTAGTCATAATAGTGATACTGTATAGCTGTAATATCAATGTCAAATAAAAGTATTCTAATGAGTAAGACATGTTTTGATTACCCACTGATAAACCAAACGAATCCCATGATGAGTAAAAAAAAATCTCAAATACAATATCAAGGTAGAAGGAGAATATAAGAAAATTTGATAATACAATAGCCAACTAGTAAGCATGCGATGTAAATGTTAGTGAAATCAACGTGAAAATTAACCAAAATAATTACAGATTTCATTTACTCTCACACATAGAACAAATTTTTCCGCCAGGCTAAGCATCACAAAAGACTCAGGCATCCCATTCATTCTCTAACTGCTTTATCCTATGTATGTTACTATAGATTTATCCTTCCACAACAAGGTTCCAGGATACATCGATGTAGCAAGTTAGATCACTGTGTATGGGAGTGGGTTAAAGATGTGTAAAGACCGAAGCCACTCACCCCAAGTTCCACTGGAAAATAAACGAAGTACATACAGCACATTATCTAGCTGTCTAGAACATATGTAAGGTATTGGGCAATCGTAAAAAATATATACTAAAGTACTAAGATTTTATAAGTTTTGAAAAAGGAAATAAAATTCTTGCCAAACACGGAGGAATGCATTACCTTGTACTGAGTAGTATAACTTCATATATTAGATTTAAATCGAAGTTGATATAAGTTTATAAATGATTAATGAAGCATGTGAGCATTAGCGCCAAATGTATCATACACAGGAGGTGTTTGCAGTAAATAATAAAATGAACTGAGTAAATTACTTTTTTCGCGGGGATTAGCCCACCCAGGCACAGGTCACCGACCCACATTGGGGCCTGGTGGCCGAAAAAAAAAAGAATAAAAAATAAATTCAGAAATTGAAAAAAAAAAATCAAGAGTGAGAAACGGTATGCTACATTTACTGTATATGTTGTGCTGTAAAAGAAAGAGAAACAATTGAAACCTTGCAATAGTGTAAATGAGCAGAAAATTAGATCAGCAACCTGGGGCTTGGTCAAAAAATTTTGTGATGCCATATGGCAGCAGGGTTTACCATTAGACAACACATTATGCTTCCAATATCTTCCCAGGCGATAGTACCTCCTGTTTGATAGCTGCCTACTACCTACTACATTTTGACTCTATTTCTACTAATACTGAATTTTCAGTCTTGAAAAAATAAGATAATACGGTAATTATCAGAAAAAACAAGTTCAGGCTTCAAATACAAGTACAGTATTCTAAAAAAGGTTTACAGTGTGTGAAAATATAACGTCTGTATATACACCTTATGTACTAAGCTTACTTCACTGCGATAGCCTAAATTATTTAGTCCCACTCTGTTTAAAAAAAATAATAAAATAAATGAATAACAACATTGGAAATTTATATATGGATAAGAATCATCAACATTTTATGTACAGTAATTTTATTTCCAAACATTTGAACACTACTGAAGTTACTGACCAATGAATGAATCGTGATGAAATATCTTAGACGATATTTGTGAACGTGATTGTCCAGTTTTACATGATACTGTCCATCTTAAGTCATTCTTAATTCAAGTTTTGAAGACCAAGATAGAAAGTTCCGAAACGTGTTGCTATGCCGTCTGATGACGTCGCAGTAATCTACAATCAGATAAAAAGGTCGAGCGCCCGTGCGTTTATGAAACAATTATGTGAGATGATATTATTTTAACCTTACGTATACCGAAACCTGTTTATACAACATATTACTATACTACTTATTATTTAGAGAATGAGAAAACTAATGTCTACACTTCTTATATCCCAATCAACAGTTGAAAATTACACCAAAGCGATCTAAGTGCTGGATTCAAGTAACCTTCGGAAACATCAATTTCTTCGTATTTGGTTTTCTAGTTTCAAAAAAATTGCCCTTAAACTAGTTTATAAATGCTCGCAACATTTACACTGTTTATATAAAACGCCAATAAATGCTTTATCACCATTATAAATGCACCCAGCTCATAAGCACACATCACACGGATGCGGAAGGTGGTGACATGAGTTAGCTGATCAAGGCGCCAAGTTCAGGATTACTCATATTACTCGGCGGTCGACCAGCACGTTCCGTTACGCTTACTTATTGTCACAAATTGCCATGCTAAATAGCTGGTCTTTAAACAGGTGTGCCCTGTATTTTTTTTTATAGTCATTCACTTTTCTATTCAATCTTCCCAAATGTATGTGGTGGAAGAGTCCTTCAGTCTCCACGTCGCCACTCTCACATTGTGCCGTAGGTGGTCCAGTAGGACACATTCAACACAAAGAAGGAAAACGGGAAGAAAAACCGAGAGAATTTGTCTATGTAGATGGCTATATCTTTCCCGGAGCAGCGATGGACGACGTACTGCGGCACTCCTGGACTGTGCGACCGCAGGCGGCTTCTGCTCCGACTGCGGCTGCGGGAGTACCCATTCAGCCGACCATCCTCAGACTAAAAGAAGTGTGAAGATCAGATTTGTTTGACTCAACCGTGGTGTAAAAAAAAAATAATGGCAGTTCAGTTCGACTCGTCAGTTAATATTTTTTTATAAATCGCTAACAATAAATCTAATCACATTTCTGCTTATTCAAAATCATGATTTCTGAAGTTCATTTTCTGCCTAGTTAAATTATTAAGTAACATTATATTGGCATTCTCCCCAGTACACTAACACAAATCTAAGTATTTTTGCCTCTTAAGGATATGCTGAAAGGTGTTGATTATTATTATTATTATATACAATTACTATTATTACTATAACCGTTAATATTATCAATACTATTACTGTCATTTCATATTATTTTACCTTTTTCTCATCGATATCAGTGAGGTCCTCGACAGAGTAGCCCGTCATGTCTTTGGTGAGAGGTTCGGCCTCCATGAAATAATTGACGATACCGAACTGCAGCAGCGAGGCGAACACGAACACGGTGCAAGATGACATCCACACGTCTATAGCCTTGATGTACGACACTGGCGGTAACGACGACTGCGATTGTTGGTTCTGGGTGGCTATAAGGAGGTTGGACGGTACGGAAGAAAAGATAATTAAATTCTAAACAAGAATCTTAGTGATAAATGGGATGAAAGCAGAGGATTTTAGGAATACTACCGAAATTAATCAAGAGGGCATACTAAAAGTTATCCCCTAATCTCTACCAGAAGTTCAGCAGTATGGAGAATTTTATTTCACGTATTCTTACCTCGGTTTTATAAGAAACATAAGAAAATAATCAGAAATACTAGTTTTGTACACTGTTGACGTTGATTAATGTTTATGATTGTGCTTCAAAAACCAAGTTCTTTAAGTATAGTAATTACACTTGCCCACCAACAATATTAGAAAATTAACAGATAGAACTCTGTTATGTACACTGTTTAAGCTAGAAGGAATTAAGTCAGTTGGAATTTCCCTTCCGGCATCTAGGAGTAAAAATGTTGGTACGCCTTTCACACATTGCCAGTTTTTGCTATTCGGTGTATTGTTTTTTTATTTATATTATTTTTAGTTTCATATCTACAACATCGCTTGATATTCAGTTGACCAAACATTTTATGATCAGCAGAACTATGACTGGTGAGGCGCGTGTTGTGTTATTTCACATAACTCTCGGTTTTATGGCTCTCTAACCATATGTAGTGATAATATGCACTCCTAGCTCTCTCTCTCTCTCTCTCTCTCTCACACACACACACCTTCAGAAGGTGAGGAACATTCATCTAGGTTGAGAAACACCTAACGGTCATGAGGAACAATTACCAAGGGTGAAGAACACTGATCTCTGTTGAGGAACAACTACCCAGGGTGAAGAACACTGATCTCTGTTGTGGAACAACTACCCAGGGTGAAGAACACCTACTCAGAGTGAGCAACACCTACCTTAGGTAAAGAACACATACAAAAGGTTAAGAACAACTACCCAGGGTGAGAAACACCTTCGCAGGGTTAGGAATATCTTACCTAAGGTGAGGAGGGAAGTGACGCCGAGGGTGACACGGGCAGGGATGGCCTCGGGCTTGATCCAGAAGGAGATCCACGACATGACGACAGTGATGGCGGAGGGCACGTAGGTGTGGAACAGGTGGTATCCCAGACGACGACGCAGGTTGAACACCACCGCCAGGCACGTGAAGTTACCTGAGGAAGGGCAGAGAACCACCTGTACCAGCTACAAATCTGTTGAACTTCACCACCTGCTTGTGTTAACGGTAAAGTGTCAATAGTCTTGATCTATGTCTGTTTTTATCTTATTCCATCTATGTGTGTTCCTTTTTCCTATCTCTTCCTCTAGCTGTAAGATAAAATTTTATGTTTAAGTGTATCAACGCATACTCACATCTGGTGCAAGAGAGAATGTGTTACTGACCTGTGGAGTAAGTGAGGGTACAGTCCTCGGTGTTGTTGCGGGAGATGTCCAGTTGAGGCAGTTCTATGTCTGGGTTCACCACCAGAGGGTCCGTTTCATTCCACTTGAACACCAGGTCATGTGTGGTGTGGGATACTGTGGGCGCAACATCACACATTTAGTAGGGCACAACACACTATAAAACAGGATATAAATGAGTAAAATAAAACCAAAACACTACGTCAAACATCGCTGGTTATGAATGGAAAATGAAACCGAATGAAAAATTACTACAGTATGTGACAAGACTATGGGGAAGATTTGACATGGATGATAGGAAAACATCACAAGACATATATAAAATGCTATGGTGTTGAAGCTTGTTGTTAAGAAGCTTCAACCCAGTAACAATAAACCTCTCCCACAGTCATTAATAACCAACAAGGCTTCAACAAGTCAAAAAAATATATATATTCTTTCCTCTATTAAAGCCATGGGATATTAAACTGTACTGTCAAGCATTAAATTAGTTTTTTTTTAGCAACAATGGATGAAACAAAGGACACCAGGAGATGACTTACAGCTCTCAATCATCATGGAGCAGATCTGAGTGTCGTGTGGGTAGGCTTCAAACTTCATGGCGCAGGACAACACCAGAGTCAACCTGCCAGTGGGAAAAGTCACGTTACTATACTGGATACCAGTCTCTCTCTCTCTCTCTCTCTCTCTATTTCTCTTATTTTGTATTCGATTTACATAAAATGTCATAAATTACAGACAGCAAACCACTAACCACTTGTTATTAAAAATCGAACCTGAGAAAAGTGGCTAATTAAGAAATATAAGACAAATAAAAACAATATAAAAGCATTTTCTTGATGACGTAAAAGAACACTGCAACGCCACTTCCTTGTTTATATTTTTTATGTTCATTAAAAAATAACCTCCTCGCCCTAATAGCTAACAAATTACTGTATAAAGGAAGTACCTGCTCATATAATAATACATGAACTCCAAACTGCCCTCCTAGGTCATATTTAAGTACAATATAAATAGCACTTCTTTGGCCTTGTACTATGTATGAAAATAAAAGTATTTACATTAACCATATAAAAGAACACCATAACAAGCCTAATCAGAACATAACAAGGAACACCTACTTGGCCATGTAGAGTAGTGTCTTGTCGTGGTAGAGCCAGAGGTAGTGGTTTGGCACGGACATTTCGTGGAAGGTGACCCGCTTAGCGTTCTTGAAGAAGCAGTCGGGCCTCCAGATGTTGTGCAGCCACTCCACGTCCAGGATGCGGTACTCCTCCGTCATGTTCTCCGGCAGGCGCAGACGATGGTCCCGCCAACTCTGAGCCAGGAAGATGTCTGCCACGTATGTCTGTAACACAAGGTAAGTTATCACCATATAATTTTTTTTTGAAGAATTACGGAAAATATTAAACTCCAATCTGATCACACCAGAGTATCAGGAACCTTATATTATTTAAATTTTTGTTAGTGAGGTGAAATAAACACGGACAGCTTAATATTGTATTGAGACCGTCACCTACAGTCCATCCACCTTCTTCAATATGTCTGTAGATAAAAAACACACTTAAATTGTAAAGCTATTTCTCAGAATTCATCAATTTATCATCAGTCAGTATGCAAACCAGGATTCCCAAAGCCTCGTAAGTTATTAGTTTTTCCTTTAGCTGGATAACTGAAAACGTTACCTGGTTTATTCTAGGCTTGGCAAATGGATAGCCCTGGCCCATTGATATTTGTTATTATTCCCTCATGCCTAATTATAATACTAAAGTATCTAATTTTTCTTTTTCTGTACATTTTAAGTATTCCTCTTTAAGTTTTTGGTAACCTCAGCATTTCTTCATTTGTTTTCCTGTTGCAATGTAACTATTCCTAACATTTGCCTACAACACCACATTTCAAAGGCCTGTCACAACGTTTTGGTGTCTGCTGAAAGTGATCACCTTTCTGACCCATACAACAGCCATGGCCATATCCAGGGTATAGCCTTTTCAATCGCATTTTTCTTAAATTGAAGTCAATGTACTTTTTAATAGGTCTTGTTGATTATTAAATGCTGTTGCCTACCATATTTTTTTTAGGATTTATTTCTAATTTGGAAACAACCATTACTTTCGTCTTTACAGCATTAACTCTTAACCCATTGTAATTACGACTGTGTTTACTCACCTCTAATTAAGGGAAATATAATCAAGGTAAGAATCTTTAAACAAAAAACAATAGGAGCTAACACTAACCATTGACTCTTCGTTGATGGAGTCGACGGAGAGGACGGTGACGTGGAAGTAGACGATGGTGGCCTGGCCCTCGTACTTGGGGGGACGATTCTTGTCATACTTCTTGAGGTCGCGTGGCAGGATGTCGTGCAGCACCAGCCCAGTCTGCGCGCGCACCCTAACGAGAGACATCGAGTTGTTGTTAGCTGTGTTGATTCTAATGTAAGATTGAGGAAACACCTGTTTATTACCAAGTACAAAGGTTGAGGAGAAACCAAATTTATTGGGTTTTTTTGTGTTAGCGCAAATAAATGGCCAATTACCATTCCTGTTCTTTTCTAGTGGTTGTTTCACCTGAGAGATGTTGGTTACTGTGAAGGGAGAGTCGTGACCAGGGCGAGGAAGTATGTCACAGTGTTAATCGTTTATAGACAGAGTGTAAGGCTTCTCGCAGCAAGAATTTAAATTTTCGTGTTAAACGCACACGTGTGTCTTAAATACGGCATGAACTGATTAGGCGAGGAACACCTTCAAACGAAATAATTAAATTGGTAAATAACATGAGTAGTGTGTTATACCTCCTTCATGATATTGTTTACCTTTTTTGCTCCTAGTTGTCAGAAAGTTGACCACATGAACTAGCCAAACTTACCCAACCCTTGGATCGATTTGCTTTGCTGTGGTCCACCTTCTCTGCTGTCATCTTGAGGGGTGTTGTACCAATCGATGATACATTACTAGAAACTCAACATCACACGGCTCAGCCAATTACTGTTTCTTTGCCGAGCACTCTCTACCTGTATCGCAGTGGCCCTTGGAGGAGGAATGGAGTAGGGTGTCCATATAGTGTATCCTTGGGTGCTAACCAGAGATAATATATATATTTTTTTTATTTCACTTTTAATAACTAGTGTATATACTGTATTTAACCCAGGGTACTTCAGCATCAAAGGTCTTTTACCTTTGATGCTGAAGTACTTTAATGAATTATAACATCAACAATTCCCTGGTTGATTAATCACTGGCTGGGAGCTGCACTCGTCCTCACACATGAAGCCTTAACAAAACAAGTCACCTCATTGCACTTCACTACTTTCATTTAAATCTGACAATTTTCATTCATTTATTGTTCATTCGTTTTTCTGAAGGATTCAATACTTTTCACTCTTAAACATGCTGAACTAATGTGAACTTGAATGACGATTATATTGAATCAACATCCATCTGGCCATTCAATAGCACCAGATATGAACACTTTACCGTATAATGTCCTTTGGGGTGCTTATAAACGTCTAGTATATCACCCCTTGCCCGGCGATAATATAAACTAGACAACTGAGGCGTTCTAATCTTTCTTGGTAAGTGAGGTGCCCCACTACCTCTAGGCATTAAGATAAATCTATGGTAATAAAAATTAACATTTACTCAAAAAGCTGTCATTTTTATTTGTTTTTCTGCTGCTGAGATTAAAGTATTTAATTACAAATAATTAGTAACAACTCATGTAAGAATATACTGCTATCCAGTGTGAAGTTCCCTGTAATATTACCCAATGAACCATCTCTTATAGCTCTTCCCACAGAAATTAACAAACCAATCACATGTAGCTCCTCCCACTCTTACATGCCACTCCTCCCACTGTTTCATATCTACTACCAATCCTTGGCAGCTTCTACCACTCTTACACATGCCGCTCCTCCCACTCTTACATATCGGTCAATCATATGTAGCCCCTCAGACTGTTCCGTGTGAGCCAATTACACGTATCTCCTTCCACCTTTGCCATCGAACCACTAGCATGAACCACCGCCATCCACTGACCTTTACAGAAAAGCCTCGAAAAAAAAAGCACACATCGCTTTCACAAAAGGGCTTCACAGCAGCCTATGTAACCCACACACTTCCCCAGGTTTTTTCCAGCTCCACGTTCAGCTAATCACATTTTTCTTTGTTAGTCATGTAAGTGAAAACCTTGAGTCGCGGAGGCTCAGTGGGTTGTGCAAACAGATTAGCGGATACGACTATGGATATTTCCTCTCCCTGAATACTCCGGGTAAGGCTGCTAAGGCAAAACACTGTCGCGTTCGAGAATGAGTGAAATTGAATTATCTTCCAACGGATTGTTCATCCTTTCTGTCAACTTAACCACCTGCAATAAATATTTTAATTCCAAGTACAAGCCACATCGATACGTATAACAAATGATGAGACCGAATACCAAGATAAGACCTAAAGTTCTACAAAGAAAAGTTGACGGTATGAACGTCGACAGCCGCCACCAATAGTCTTAATAAGCCTCATCAAAATCTAACTACTGGAATTGGATTCCATCCCTATTGGACCCCAATCTTAATAAATCCCAATCCAAATGGTTAGGTTGGGTTGGGGTCAATAAGACGGACCCCTGCATTTTACCTGCAGCGCCAACACCACCACTATCACTGAGATAGTTTCCCTCCACCATCACCACTAGGGCGTGAAGTCCTACAACCTCCACCACTCACAACACCGCCTTTGATACCACTCCATTGCTCTTGACGTCACAGCCACATCAGCTGTTCCGGAACTAGGAATATGTACATGGCACCAATGTTCAAATAGTGCAAATATTCCTTGTGTGCTAAGTTGCCACAGGGCTGCCAACAACTGCAAACCTCATAACCTCGCTTGATCAACACCCTCAAGACAGCAGTGCCCTCACCTCATACTCTCCTCCTTGATGTTCTCGAGGGCCCTGGCGTAGTCTTCATAGTCGAAGGTGGGCATGTTGGCCTCCAGTTCCATTACCAGGTGGTAGGAGGAGCGACACACTGCCTCACCCAGGTAATTAAGTTGCTGCTCCGGGGAGGCCAAGGTCTTGGTACTACTCCCGGGGTTCTCGGCGGTGGGGCTGGCCGTGCCACACACCTCGTTGGACGCACAAGCCTCATTACTTCGTCCGCCGAGGTCGTACACATCAAAGCCGCTGTCCTTGTTGTAGGTACGCTCTAGGTTACGTGTTATGGAGGCCAAGTTATAGGTGGTGTAGCAGGTCGGGTAGTCCTGGGCGCAGTAGTCCAGGATGGCGTCGTTCAAATTCAGGAGCTGTGTCTTAACTTCCTTGCTCCTTGTCGTGTTAATCTCGTTCGCCTCGGTCGGGATGACAGTATATATGGTCAGTCCGCCTTGGGACATGGACAAGTGATCTAGAATGCGCTTCGTTCGCTCGAGTACAATGTTGTAGCTCTCGTAGTTAACACTCTTGAGATTGAAGTACACGATGAGCTGGCGCATGGGGTTGGACGTTTCCCTAATGAGGTCCTCCAAGCTATAATGGTCAATCAGTTGGAGAGTAACGTGTCTAGAGCAGTTTCTCAGGATGTCCATGATGGTATCATTCCCGACGTGACCGAAGATGACGAGGTTATGTTCCCGGGGAGAGTCGTCAGTTACTCGAGGCGGTATGATGGAAGGTTCGCCGTGTTCTTGGTGCTTTCTGTCGATGAAGGCAAACCCCCCGTGAAGTTTACTGCTTGTAAACATTCTGTATTTGTTACGGCGGATCAGAGGGAAGGATGTATAGGATTCTACGGGGTAACCAACTGTCCTACTGTCAAAGTCAGGCATGAAGGATCCACCCACTTTGTTATAAAGCTCCTCGTTGTGACTTCTCTCGTTGTCATACTCCAGTAGTTTGTGGCCCTTCGCCTTGGTCCTCTGCTGCTGGACGCCGAAAAGTGGAGATAGAATGTTCCCCATCATGTCCCCAGAATTCGGCTTTTTCATTCCCGTCTCGACCTTAGGCATTATGAAGGGTTTGATCTTCTTCACGACGCCTAAGATACCCCTCGGGGTACTGTCAAGTTCTTCCTTCCTCGCGGTGGGGAGGAAGGGACCGAAGGGCAACTTGGCAGGGATGAACGCGGGGTCGTGATAGTCATCGTCGCTGGTACCATTTTTTACCGTCGACGATGGCTCAGTAACTTCAATATCCTCCATGTCATAGTCTTCATATGATACGTCTTCGTCTGTCTCATTAACTCCTTCCGTCCCATTTCCTTTTGATTCTTCCGGTACATTTTCTTCATCTGGGTTTAAAGATATTTTCTCCTCGTCCTTTATACCATTTTGAATAGTAACAATGTTTTCTAATTCCAGAAAAGTCGTAGACTCATCCGTGTTCTCCCACCTAATGGGTGTAGTTGGAATACTGTCATAACCCACGGTGGTTGTGGTAACAACATTACGCCTGCTGGAGGTGGTGGAGTAAGACGGACGAGGGGTAGTAGTGGGGATAGGCGGTGCTTGAGGAATATCCACTTGTTCAGGAGACGATCTAGTTGGTCCTGGCTCCTCCACATAGTTGGTGAACTCCACCTCGACTCCTCCACTGAGATCATTTGATATGTTGTTTGCGTCAGCTTGGATGTCCAGCAAGGTTGCCTGGGAGCTAAATGATTCAGCGTTTACTTCAGTTCTCCTCTGGTAACCTTTAAAGTTCATTTTTCTGATGAAGGTTTCATCCACAGCATGTTTACCGGGATAAAACTTTGCTCTGGTGTTTTTCCCTCTTGGCTTGGCTGGGACAACAGGACCTTCCTCGTAGCCCCGAACTGTTAAATGAGGGGCGTTGGGTGTCTTGTGGTTTTTCTTGACCGTGTTGTGGGTAACTTTATCATATCTATACAGCACCGGTTTGCTCTCAGGTGGAGAAGACTGTGTTGGCGGCGGTATAAGTTGTCTTTGTCGGCCACCTTTACCGTGACGTGTAGTGTATACACTAACAGGGTCTATGTGATAGTCGTCCTCGATGATAATGTTACGGTCTCTCCATATATTGTCTGCTGCACCTGGAATGTGATTTTCTAACGAGTTGTCCAGCTCTTGATCTGAGAATGACGGAAAGAGATCATTGTATATGTTGGTGTCGTGTTCCAGTTGCTGGTGTGCTATTTGTGCTGCTTTGTGCCTGCGATGTCTGATTCTCTTGGTCCTCAAACTGTCGCGGAGGACAGTCTCAGTGTACAACTCCTGGCGACCCAACCTCCTGCCCTCACTGTTCACCCTTGTTGTGTCTCTCTTCACAACGCTAATAACCATTCTCTCTATATTTTCAATTACAGCTTCACTATAACTCTTGTCCTCTTCTCTTAAAACCTGCTTTGGTTCCTGGTTATCTGCCGGGGTCATATTAGTGACTGGTTCAGCCTCTTTCTCTGCAGCGCTCGTGTGTGGTTCTCTGCTAGACGATCTGCCTGCGTAGGGCCACTCGTTATTGGCTTCTAAACGACACCCAAAGGAGTAATGGTGAGATGATAAGGACGGCGCCGTGGTAGGCGTATCTCTGACCTGCACAGTTTTGTCTTCTTGTGAATTTCCTACTTGCTGAGGTTCATCTTCCTGCTGGACACGCCCTGGCTGCAGGAGAGAGGTGGGCGCTGAGTTGGTCCTGTCTGACCGAAGAGACTCTCTAGATGGTAGAGATTCCTCCTGAATTATGACAGTCTCTTCCTGCTGGAGACCTTGTCGTACAACACCTCTCTCCTGCTGGAGGGCCCCTTGTTGAGGAGAAATCGCCTGTTGGGGCACGTGAGGTGTCATGGGTTCCTTCACCAAGTCATGTGGCTGTGACCTGATCTGCTCTGCCCCCACAAACAAGGGTACCATCCCGCCCAAGCCGACGAAGACGCTGTAAAAAAGTAAAATGAGGTTACATTGGGTCATAGCAAGAAATATGCAACTTCTGATATCATGAGAGAGTGACTTTAAGACAGTTTTATTCTTAACACAATATGACCCAGATTTACCTCATTTTACTTTATAAGTTAAGGAAGTTGCATATTTGTATATGCTTTTGAGCTCAGGAGCGTCACTTGCCAGGGAGACATCTGTTGACTGTACGAACATGACGTAACACAGCTCGAGATTTTAATCCATGTTGAATTAATGCGTTCATTTAGGCGCACACACGCACACTTATTTACACACAAATGCTATAAATTCTTTCTTTCCTTGACACATCACACGCTACTGGACACAACTGTAACGACTGCCACGTGGAGTCAGGGTTTGGCCGCCACTACCCAAGACAACCTCGTGATTTGTTACACACCTAACCTAATCCAACCTAACCTAAATTATTTTAACCTTTCCTATTCTAACTTAACCCTGTCTAAACTAATCTAGATTAAATTAAGCTAACTTAACTTAACCTGACAACCTTAAACTTAAAACTAATCCATCCTCACTAAACCTTAACAAGCCTAACTCAATATAAGAAAACCTAAATAAGCCTAACCTAAACTAATCTGATCTAGCTTAACCAAACTTAGCCTGACCTGAACTAACCCAACTCAATCTAGTTTAAATAACCCTGACCTACTAGACAGTTTCCTAGTGAAGAAAATTGCCAGAAGACAATTTTATAGCGGGCATGACCAACAAAATATCTCCTTTTCAACTTTCACGTCTTGATTTGTCCTTTTAGGTTAGGTTAGGTTAGGTTAGGTTAGTTTAAGTTATGACAGGGTAGGTTAGGTTAGGTTATGATAGAGTAGGTGAGTTTAAGTTATGACAGGGTAAGTTAGGTTAGGTTATGACAGGTTAGGTTAGGTTATGGCAGGGTAGATTCGGTTAAGTTGTGACCGGGTAGGTTAAGTTAGGTTACTCAGTATTACAACGCAACACTACGAAAGTGATTAATTCTACGAGAGAGAGAGAGAGAGAGAGAGAGAGAGAGAGAGAGAGAGAGAGAGAGAGCCAGTACTTACGTCATGTTATCTTGTACAGGAGCAGCGGAGAGGAGCCAGAAGAGGCATAAGGAGCGTAGAAGCCAGGTCGAGGTGGCCAGCGGCTCCCCACACACCCTGAGGACATACACACATACACCTGTTAGTTAAATGTACACACCCTGAAGTACATACACACACACACCTGTTAGTTAAATGTACACACCCTGAAGTACATACACACACACACCTGTTAGTTAAATGTACACACCCTGAGGACATACACACATACACCTGTTAGTTAAATGTACACACCCTGAAGTACATACACACACACACCTGTTAGTTAAATGTACACACCCTGAAGTACATACACACACACACCTGACTATACCCATAAATGCTTCACTACACACAACAGAACAAGTTAAAATATAATCAGTTGCAGATAATGAACCTGTGTCCTTCTTACCTGTCTCGTGTACGTTATATATATTTAACCGACCGACGCTGTGAAGGAAGGAGGAAAACGATGTGGTGTTCCGCTTACGATTATTATTACGATTACATTACCTATTGGGGGCTACAAATTGAACCCACTACATCAAAATACTCATGAACTTTATACTATTACAGATTTATAGATATATTGACGTGATATAGGTAATGGTGATCCTTTCTTCTACCGGTAGTATATACTAAAGGTATTTATTATTTTCTTTACGTAACTGGAGTAATTTTTTTTTATGGTTAGTGGTAGTTATAGAGTAAATAGGGGAGGACACCTGTACATACCTGTGTGGACCTATATTATAAATTATTCTATCGGTCTATAATATATAAAGAAAAAGCCTTGATCTCTCTCTCTCTCTCTCTCTCTCTCTCTGTCATTTTAGTCCAGTTTTATTTCTAAATCTACGTACTTACGCAACTCATTTTCGTGATAAGATTAGAGTTCTCCCTTTCTCAAACAATATCAAAGGTAAGTTATTTTCTTGTTACTGAGCAGAGTATAGAATAAATTCATCTGTGTGTCACTACTGTGCACGTAGTCGTCAGAGAATGATAAATGGTTTGAGGGTCCAGCCAGGTGAAGAGGAAGACGAAAGAGAGAGAGAGAGAGAGAGAGAGAGAGAGAGAGAGAGAGAGAGAGAGAGACAACTTCCAGTCAGCACAGAAACCCTCCAACACACTAGCTACTTGTACACCAGGAAGAGGCGGGTTGTGTGGGTGGCTCACACTAGCTTAGTAGTACTCCCCCACAGGAACTATGTAAACCTGACAAGGAGAGTCTTCCACTCTCGTGTGTCTTGTGAGAGAGAGTACAGGATGAGTGTGAGGGACAACAAGATGTGTGTGTGTGTGTCGCGAATTTTTCAATTCCACTAAAATATTTTATGGCCAATCCCTCAAGGCGCAGCCCTCCTCCGCTCATCCGACGGTAACTTTCAGTATCTCGGCTCCCACCTGCCCACCACTGCGGACATTGATGAAGAGATTCAACAACGGATCAGATGTGTATCTCAAGCCTTTGGCTGAAAATAAACAGTTACATAATTTGGGAATGGGTCACTTGATTGACAAATAATATACAAGTAACATAAGTGATACAAATATGATATATAATAACTAGGTGGGGAGTAGGTTACACTACAGGGCATTTCAACATAGCGACAGTGCAAAAAGGTAAGATTGACTGGGAGTGAATACACTGGTTGATGAGGAGTTGTTTATGATTTTTACAATGGTTGGGACTGGGCTGTTCTTATAGCGATCAGTACGTGCTCGTATGGGCTGGATGCGGTTGTGGAATCGAACAGCAATTTGCAGACAAGGGATCTCGGGTGGAAGTAGGAGCCGGTGTCGAGGATGGTGCAGAAGCTTCTCACCAGCTTTGCAGATGAGGTCGTGGTGATGATCAGAGAGAGCCGAGAGGGTCAGTGTGTTAAGTGCTTCTTGATATGTGAAGTAGAAAGGGGAGAGAATAATCTTGCATGCCCTCTTTTGCACTTTTTCTCGGTGTTTACGTTGTGTGGCGTTTAGGGAGGAAGGCCAGGCAGGGGAAGTATAGGTAAGCTTGGGAAGTATGAATGTTGAGTAAACACTGAGGAGCTCGGGTGCAGGAACTCAGAGGGACTTGAGTCGGCGGAGGAGGTGGAGACGAAAACTGCAGGATTTGACAACTTCACTGACGTGTGTGTGTGTGTGTGTGTGTGTGTGTGTGTGTGTGTGTGTGTGTGTGTGTGTGTGCGTGTGAACAAATTACATAGAAGGAAATTTGGTATATAGAGAAAGAAATTTGGTCTTGTCTGTATATATGTTTGGGTGATCTCTTGCTAACTACAAAGACAAGAAAAAGGGCCTTGGAAAATCCCGGCATTAATATAAAACTTCTTAAATTGCAATTCATTTCCTACTGCAGTTGAATATGTAACAAGACTTGCAGTTCATAAAAGTAATATATTCAATGAGGTTTTTAACGTAAGGGATTAGAGATACCAAAGGCAGATAAAATAAAACTATAGACCCGTTAACCCGTGAGTGCATACGGGAGATCAACAGAGGAATAATTAAGATTAACTTCAAAGTGTGGGTAATCTGTAGAGGAATCATCAGGCTTAAATTCGAACTGTATGTCAGAGATGATAAAATAAAGAGATCCACCTTTGCGCTTTATATTGACGAGTTATCCAGGAGTTGGGACACATTGTGGAGTACAGGAGAAGTGAGAACCTTGCGAAGGCTTGAGCGTAATCCTGAGTCACGTGTCGTCAGACCTTGTGAAAAAATGTCCCACATGAGCCAAGTGTCGTTGTTTTCATCTCAGAGTTGAACAGCAGATAAAATACTGTTAGAATAAGAAAGTTGGGATCACTTGAAGATTAACTCCCACAGCTTACTCCACCGTTAGATTAATCACCCTAACCTAACTTAACCTAACACAACTTAACCTAACATAACCTAACCTAACCTAATTTAACCTAACCTAACCCTCCGGGTAGCATTAGAGTGTTTAATCATCATGTGAAATAAACCGGAGGACTAATCTTCAGGTGGTCCAAAAGTTAACTTACTACCACACATAAAGCTTTACCCTGGAAGTAAATGAGTTAGTGTTGTCAGCGATAAGAACAAATGAGAAACGTTAATGGCTGAGCTGTCGTGTTTAAAGGAGGATTTTTAACCTGAGTATGTCATGGGAGGTTCGGCGGGGGTCATAAACAGGACCAAGTCAGGAGGCGGCACCATCCACTTTAAGCAGAGCCCCAGATGTATAAATTAACGTTGTGCTTAAGGTTTGTTTATCCTCGGGCAGGAAAAACTATAAACCCGAGTGCATGGAGAGGGTTATTTTCGGTCTTTGGGAGTTCACTCGTACAATCAATTCTTTCTTCTTTTAATTTCCATTCTCTGGGTGATATATATATATTTTTTTTTTTATTCTTTTTTACGGGGATTAGCCAACCCTGACATAGGTCACGACCCACTTCAGGGCCTGGGGGCGAAAATATAATAATACAATATAAAACATACATACAAATAATAATAAAACAATAATAATAAACATTAATAATTACAAAAATGAAAATAAATAAATGAGGAGTGAGAAACGATATATGTATATGTTGTGTTGCCAATAGTAAGAGAAATAATTGAGACCCTGCAATTGTGTGTAAATGAGAGAAAGTCAGATGAGCAACCTGGAACTTGGTCACAATTTTGTGATGCCATATGGTAGCAGAGTCTACCATTAGACAACACATTATGCTTCCAATATCTTCCCAGGCGGTAGTACCTCCCTGTTTGGTAGCTGCCTACGACCTACTACCCCATTAGTATTTCTCCACTGTTTACAAAGACTTAGTTGTGTTATTATTATTGTTATAAATGATATATTATCACTGCAATTGATTTATACTGATAAATTACTCTTATTATTATCAACGGTATTATC